CTGATGCGGCCCTCAATGAAATTGAGTTTGGCACCCCTGCTCTAGGGGAAAGAAATCAGATTTCTCCTTCCCCTCTTTTACTTCAATTCAAACATCTTTTACTTCAATTAATTCTGTTTGGCTGGCATCAGGCCATGAAGAATTTCTAGGTGAGGAAGAAAGTCAGCTCTGTGTGTGTGTGTGTGTGTGTGTGTGTGTGGCAGGGTGTGTGTATTGTCTTTCCTTTGCAGGAAAGAAAATCTCACAATTACGTCCCTTGCAACCATGGGACGCCAAAGATGGCACTGTCTCTGCTCACCTCCAGCATGGTGATCCCGTTTTGATAACTTCGGATTGGTCCTGAAGACCCACTCAGGGGACAGAAAGGCGTCCTTCTCCACCTCCTCCATCCAGGGCACCAGAGGCTCCATCTTCCTGGTGAGGTTGTTATAGCGAGAGATGGGCTGGTCATCCAGGTAGCTTCTAATGGAGAACCTGGGCAGTCTCTGGCTGGGCTCTGGCAGATGCAGGTAGAAGTAGCTCAGGGAGTGTGCGGGAGAGCCTGGAGAGGGAGGAGGGAGAAGAGAAGAATTGGGGCCGGGGGTGTCGGGGTCTGCTCTGCAGCTTCAGTCCTTCCGACATTTGGTGATTCAGCAAACCCCACAACAGTTGATCCACCTCTTTCTGTCCTGCGTTTGAAGGTTCATGCTTTTAAACCCAAAGAGGGAAACCCCAGCATCCCTTAGAACAGAATAGAGCTGGGGGGGATCTTGGAGGTCTTCTACTCCAGCCCCCTGCTCAAGCAGGAGAATCTATATCATCTCAGACAAGTGACTGTCTAGTCTCTTCTTAAAAACCTCCAGTTATGGAGCATTCACAGCTTCTGGAGGCATGTTGTTCCACTGATTAATTGTTCTCACTGTCAGGAAATTCCTCCTTAGTTCTAGGTTGCTTCTCTCCTTGGTTAGTTTCCATCCCTTGTCCTGCCTTCAGGTGCTTTAGAGAATAGCTTGATTCCCTCTTTGTGGGGGCAACTCCTGAGATATTGGAAGGCTGCTATCACGTCACCTCTCGTCCTTCTCTTCATTAGACTAGACCGGGGGTAGGCAACCTTGGCTCTTTTATGACTCGTGGACTTCAACTCCCAGAATTCCTGAGCCAGCATGGCTCAGCTTGGAAACCTCTCCCTTTCCCCTCAGCATGGCTAGCTCAGGAATTCTGGGAGTTGAAGTCCACAAGTCATGGCTCCCGAGGACATGGACAGGATCCTGGGGGGACTGAATGCAACCACATGTTTATTGGATCCGTGCCCCTCCTGGTTGGTACTGGCAGCTCGGGAGGGAACACGAGCCTGGCTCCAGGGAATTACAAACGCTTCTTTACGGGAGGGTGCCTTCCCCGCAGTCCTAAAGGAGGCGGTGGTGAGGCCCCTCCTTAAGAAGCCCTCCCTGGACCC